ATTTAGAAAAATGTAAGAAAATCTGAAGAATAATCTAATAAGAGGTATAAAATAAGAATTTTGTAATAATAATTTATTTATTAGAAACTAAAATTTAATAGTAAATGTAAATAAATTAAAATTTGCGGCATAAATAACATAAAAAATATTCAATTAAAATTGTCGAATCATTTAATAATATTCTAATTAATTTTATTAAATAAATGGGCATCCATTACTAATTATTTTATGCCATTTTTTAGCATTTTTTTGTTCAAAAATAATATTTTCTCCATCAATTTCAAATTGTTGAACACACCCAAAAAGTGAACGAATACCCAATGATAAAGATTTTGCTGCTAAAAAATTTTTAAAATTATTATCTAAAAATAATATGTATTTTTAAAAAAAATCTTTATTAAAATTTAATATTAATGCTAGAATCTACGATTTCTTTAATCGGAAAAATATATCTATGGATAGGAGAACACTAAATCCCTACATCAGCAATTCATAGAATGGTTAATTTTAATTTAAAAAATCCAAACAAAATAAAAGTATTTAACTAAAAACTAAAATCTTTTTTTAATTCAACTAACCGAAAGATTAAAAACCGGAAAGAGATTATGGCTCGAGTCCGTTTTTCAGTCCCTTTTCCGGTATATTTGAAACAAAAAATGTGGTTTTCTCGGAGTCCAGATTAGAGCTTCGCCGGAAGTTCCGGTTCTGGTAGTCCGGAAGTTCCGGGATTTTTTTGGTTCCGGTTTGGTTGTAAAGTTCCGGTTCCGGTCCGTCAGTTCCGATTAAACCGTAACTTTTTAACACCCCTAAGGATTGATTTATCATTTTTTATATGGACAAAATTAGCATGGCTTTGTAGAATTCTCAAAATTTTCGCCTGCGCCGCTGAAAAGTTCTGGACTCCAGATCCTTCCCAATCGTTTCAATTTCCTTTTCCCTATCAATAATTTTTTTTTCAAAATCCTTGTTTGAAGTTACAACATTTCTTAAATAATTTTTAAGAAATTCTCCAAGCTTCTAAAATTTCATTATGTTTCTTAACTAGGATTTTTTAAAATTCTCTTTTGTTTACCATTAGTTCCACCAACATAAACTGGCAAAGAACGTAATTGAGTAATTAAAGATAATGGAAGACGTTGCTCTCCAAATTTAATTATTTGGTCATTTAATTCAATTTTTATTCCCTTTGTCGATAAAAATAAGCGAAAATGATGCCATTCGCCTGGGCAGATTAAAAATAAATTCTTTGAATTATTTTGAATGTTAAAAGTATCAATGTGGATATTGTGTTCAAAATGTGGAGATGAATGGAGAGAAAATCCCAACTGAAAAGTGAAAAAAATTGGCTCTATCTTAGGACATGCGTCCCATGAACATTTATGCGTCCCATGAAAGTTTATGCGTCCCATGAACTTTTATGCGTCCCATGAAAGTATATGCGTCCCAAAAATAGTATAAGCGTCCCTTCAAAGTATATGCGTCCCAAACTTAATATAAGCGTAAAACAATTGTAAAAACATTTTTTAATTTTATTAATGACAAGTAAATATTTTATTATACTAGCGGAATCGGTCGGCCTTCGGTCGCCCCACCCCGCTAGCAAATTCAAAACAAATCAAAAAACCAAAAAAAATTCAAATCAACTTATGATAACCTCAAAAGTTGACTCTAATTTAAGACGCTTAAAAATCGCTACTTTGTAATCATAATCACAACAAAACCGATTATTAAAACATTGACTAGCATTAAAACATTACCAGATTACCAAAACATTTAACAAAGCATATCAAAACAATAACTGATAGCCTTCGGCCGACCACCTTGCTAACCCCAAATTCACAACACAATTCCCCCTGTTTCACTATTCCGCCTGTTTCACAAATCCGTGAGTTTCAATATTCCACCCGCTTCAAAATTCCTTTTGCGCTTATATTATTTTGGGACGCATATACAATTTTTGGGACGTATATACTTTCATGGGACGCATATACTATTTTTGGGACGTATATACTTTCATGGGACGCATATACTATTTTTGGGACGCATAAACGTTCATGGGACGCATAAAAGTTCATGGGACGCATAAATGTTCATGGGACGCATGTCCTAAGATAGAGCCAAAAAATTTTTTTGAGAATTTTTGAATTATGTAGAATAATAAGAGAGTAATTGAGACGGTATCACGACTTTTGCGCCGAGAACATATGCGCCGCGACTTATGAGCCGGGCGACTTGTGCGCCGCGACTTTTGCGCCGGACGACTCATGCGCCGCTTCATTTGCGCCGCCATAATTCTAAAAAAATATCTACAGTCGGATCTAATTATACATAGTGTACTCCTTAAAAAATGGTATCCAGGAGCTGAAGGAATTTCAGGAAGTACAATATTTCTGGAAGTACAATAGCCCCCTCTAATAAACCGACCCCCTAGAGGGAGGTTGAAAAATAAACTGACCCCCTAGAGGGGTCATCTTCAAAGAACTTGACTTTTTCAAATCAGGATGTGGTCTGCTACCCCTGTTCAGACATGATTTTCTGCCTGAAGAGGGTGCACTATAGTGTAGTGTTGTCGGGTCCAGATATCCGGATCTGAAAAAGGCCGGATAGCCAAAAATTTTAGGTCGGATATATAACGTGCATCGGGATAACAGACTCAATCCAACTATATCCCTCAAATCTTTGATATCCATTCCAAATCACACTACATCCACTATATCCCCCTTAATCCCAAAATCCCTCCAAAACTGTCAATATCCATCCAATGTTAATCCCTAGAAATCCTTCAAATGCTCTAATATCCTCCTAATCTTCCCAATCCCCTGACATACATTTTGATCGCTAAATCCATCTATATTCCCCTTAATCCACCTAAATTCCTCTTAATCCTCCCAAATCATCTAAAACAATCTACCTCTAATCCCGCAATATCACTGTTAATTTCCAAAATCCCTTCTAAATTACTATACGAGGGGGACTCAATCGTGTGTACTCAACTATGAAGTAATATAGGGATATCATGTGCGTCGGAATATGTTCTGATACGATAAATAATTTGTCCTGGAGCATACATCTCGGTTATCATATCGATTTTATAAGGAAATATGCCATCTTTACATGTATTTGATTTTTCAAACCTTTATCAAACAAATATTTAATCAAATTATTTGATATTTATTTGATATTTGAAAAAATCAAATTTCTTCAAAAACTCATCAAACAAATATTTGATCAAATAAAATCAAATAAAATTTGGTCAAATATTTGATTTTATTTGACCAAATATTTGTTTGGTCCGATCTCTAGTGGCGGCGCAAAAGTCGTCCGGCGCAAATGTTCTCGGCGCAAAAGTCACGGAACCATTGAGACAAGAAAAACTTGGTGTAATACAAGTCAGAGAATGATAAAGCCAGAAATCTGTATGGATAAATTAATATTGCTTATGAATAGGGCTGGGAAAAATATGCACGCAAAATCGCAAAATATGCGCATATATATGCACCGAAAACGCCCAAAATATGCACCATAATATGCAAAATTTGCCAAAATATGCACTAAATATGCAGCAAAAAATGGCGAAAATTTACATTAAAAATCAATTTTTTATCTAGAAAACACTATTTTGGCCTTTAAAATTTAAATTTAAGATCATTTCTATAAGATTTTATGGACTTTAAATTTTCGCAGAAAAAAATTTTTGAAAAAAATTTTTTCTCAAAAAATTTCTAGAAAAATTTTTTTCAAAAAATTTTTATTAAAATTTTTTTGACAAAAAGTTCCGAAAATTTTTCAAATTTTGACCAATTTTTATAAAATTTAGCAAAAAATGCCAAAATATGCTCAAATTTTGTTAAAAATATGCAAAATTGTCCAAAATATGCACAGATATGCAAATATGCACGAGAGGGCCGAAATATGCAAAAATATGCATTAAGAACCGGGTCCCAAAGTGCTCGGACCAATGTAAAAATGCCATTTTTGAGCTTCTCTCATCAAGGCATATCCGCATACAAAACATGCATTTGCATGTTTTTCCCAGCCCTACTTATGAAATCTAAATTCTTAGCTAAGCATCAACTTTTTATGTTTGTTAAGTTCCACTAATTTTTCTTTAATAATGTCAATATTTTAATTGACTAATTTCCACAATTTTTTTTGTTTTCTTATAAATAGTTACATTAACCCCAAGATTGTATTAGCAATAGGGCTGCCCAAAATAAACTAAAGATCAAATCGAGCATCATAAGTTTGGCCAAAAGAAACTCGAATGGCAGTTTCGAAAATAAACTGGTAACGAAACTGGTGCCTCAAAACTTTGGCACGAATCCAACCCTAATCATAGTCAACTTTAGAGTTATTCTTTAGGAGTAGCCCTTTCAGAGATTTCAATTACTCCCTTTCTAAATTAATTTAATTGTTAACCATTCCATTATCGTCAATCCACAAAACAAATCTCGGTTTTAATTGCCAATCATCTCCAGATGCCAAAAATGCAAATAATAATCTCCCTTTAGTTTTCGAGTTATTTTCTTTTAAATATCCATTTTTAATTAAATTTTCTGGCAAAAGACGAAATTTAATTGATAATTCTATTGTTTTGGCTTCTTTTGGCTTTTTTCCTTTTGTTGTAATTGGAGGTTTCAACTGATCCAAAGATGCTATAAAGTTTAAAAATAATAGACAATCCTCCCATAATTTGCTAAGACTTTTCTCTCCAAATATTTTTTTGTTTATTCGTGGAAAGGTAAATGGGTGCCGGAATCCCCCTCTTCAAAGAACTCTTGTCTCCATAATATTCCTATAAATTCAGAACAAAAACGTTCGAAAACTCACAAAAAGCAGCAAAACCATTATTGTGAATATATCCAATTCCTGGTGAGTGTGCACAGGGAATTATATCTTTGCTGAATAAATGCAAATCCCACTCATGGCCATTCACAATAAAATGCTTAATACATCCCTAAATTGATATTAAATTTATTTTTTAAATCTAAATTTAGATAATATAAAATTTTCTATTTCCAAAACGGGAGCCCAATACACCGCAAAACACAAAATTTAATGACAAGTGATACCCAAACGAGACTGATTCTCTAAGTGATTTCTGTCCCGCAGTTCCATACATTTTTCTAAAAGTTTCCTAAACCTCCCTATATTTCATTTATATTTTCTTATGAATTCAGAAAAATAATTTTTAAATTTATTTTACATCAAAACTTGGTGGCAATCGGTTCCTTGGTAAATTAAACATTCTTCTGTGTTTATTAATTACTCCCCCAATATACATTCGACGACGCATAACTTTTGGGGAAGGAGCATCCAATAGCTTTTCTGTTGTAAATTCGTCGACCTAAAATCATCAAAAAAATTTTTAAAAAACAATTTCCATTACTTTTAGCCCAATTTCTCTTCCTTTCTTAATTATTTCCAATTTATGCCACTTCCCATCATCAAAACGTTTTACTCGGTAAGTTAATTTTTTTATTTGGTGATGACCTTTAATTACTAATTTTAATATTCCTCTATCCATGTGTAAAATAAAATAGCGGCTGTAGTTGCGATAGCTTGCCCATACCCACAAAAGTCCTTTCTTTTGTTCAGTTCGAAATTCAAATGAAATTGAAAAACTAAAAAATAAATTTTTAAAAAATTATTTGATGTCTTGACGGTTATGAGGGCATCATAGGGACAAACAGATCCTTATAATTAATGACTTTATAACAATAGTTTAAAAGTGAGTCGTGAGTTTAAAAACCCGAGTTTCGAGACCGAGAGTTTAAGAGGGATATTACTTGATGTCACTCCTAATCCCCAAAATCCCTTGAATCCCAATTCGAAAACGAGTAAAATTCACAAAATTTCCATCATTAGGGGTGTAAATTTAGTCTCATTTTCCGAGACTAAAACACCGAGACTGAGTTTTGATCATCACTAGAGTTATTCAAAAATATTCGGGAAGAACCCACAAATTGGGACAGAAAATGCTCTTATATTTGTGTTATTATATAAAACAGTTGAGCTATCACTATTCTTTATCAGCTTACTTTGTATAGCTTGGATAAGGTTTTTCATTAAAATTAATTTTTGAATGGCTGGATTCAGACAATCCAAAACGATATTCTTTTAATTCCTTATTATTAATTTCTTCATTGTTACATTGTTTTTTAATTAATGATTCTTCTTCTTTTCCAATATTTTCTATTAAAATTAAAAAAATAATACTAGTAAATTTAAGAAAATAATATTTTAAGTTAGTCAAAAAATGTTAAAAAATTTATGAAAAATTTTGTTAAAATTACAGGAAAATTTAAAGAAAAATTTTAAAAATTTTGCTGACAAGGACCGGTTTCCATTTGTGGTATCCAGAGAATTAAAAAACCATTTTTGATGTTTAACTAAAGAAGGAATTTTAAAAAGGGGTTAGGTAAAATCCAGGATTAAATTAGATATCAGACCGAGACGATATCTCAAACAAAAATGGATTATTTCGAGATTCAATCTCGATCCTTGTAAATATTTTTTGATCTTGATCCTTGTAAAAAATGGGCAATATACAATCGACTCCAATGTGTATGGTCTTTAAGACCAACTACCGTATTTCCTCTAATAGAATGGCCGGCCATTCTATTTTTCAATCATCCTCCAGAGGGCCACTCTATTAGAGGGGGCCATTCAAATAGAGGGGGCCATTGTATTTTTCGAAAAGAAATTTTGAAATTTAATTTTGTTTGCTAAAATGTCAAATTAGAACAAGCAAATCGAATTTACAATCTCTAATTTTGATTAGAATAGCTTAAAATTTTCAACAACCTCATAAGTAGGATTTGAAGAGATGCTGTTGGTCTTAGGTATTAAGAGAGCGGAGTGATTAAGAAGATATAGAAGAATTAAGAGGAATATGGTCGATATGAATGAGGTATTTAAAGATTGGGAGGGTTTAAGAAATAATTAGTGGAATTAGTGGATATGAAGTTCATCAAAGAATTTAAACAGATTTCTTCCTTACATATCGTGCCTGATCTAATATCCCCTATACCTCAAATTTACCGATATCCATCAAATCCCTTTTATCCCTTCAAATACTCTAGTCTTTAAAATTTTTCTAATTATTCAATAATTTGATGCAAACTTCATTACTAGCTTGCAATAAATAAGTAAGATACCGGGAGGTTTATGGGATTATGAGATATGGACGAGATTATGAATGAGTGTTATGAGTAGAAATAAATAAAGATTAAGAGGATCTGAAAAAGTTTTAAAAAGGATTAAGAGTATTTGCGGTCGGTCCGTTTAAGATATCTAATATCACAGATATCCTGCAAATCCCGGTTTAATCTTTTACCGATATTTAACTTAACCACTTATTTCCCTCAAATTCTCTTAAAATCTCTATATTTTTTCACACTTTTCTAAAATAAAAGATTCAAAGAAGATATTAATTAAAAATATTTACTGATAACCTAGAAATGGCAAGAAAGATAAGAAAAAGTGAGTTGAAATAGCTTTAAATTGCTTAACTTTTTATTTTTGGAAAGATTTCAGCTAAAAAAGGGGGCCACTCTATTAGAGGGGGCCATTCAAATGGAGAGGGCCACTCTATATTTCAATCATCCTCCAGGGGGCCACTCTATTAGAGGGGGCCATTCTAATAGAGGGGGCCATTCTAATAGAGGAAATACGGTATGTATGGTCTTTAATTAATAATTAAGACAAGTTTGTTCTTTAGCAAAACCCCTCATATAATTTTAAAAGTAAAAGTTTACCCCCAATATTTTTATTATCATTTAAAAGTCCCCCAACAGTTGTAGGTGCTAATTGTTCTAATGATTGCTTGGATTTTTTTCTATATAATTGTTGTTGTTGTAAAGAATATTTATCTTCCTCCTCTTCTTCCCCAATATTTATTAAAGGTTCATCTTTTGCTGGATTTTTGTTTTCGTAAATTATTTCTGATAGAAAATTGTTAAAAGTAAAGGACAGAAAAGGGAAAGTTTTTGAAAAATAACTTTCGATTTAAGTGCATTAGAATATTCTGGCAATTCCATACAATCGCCTCCAAATTCGGTGCTCAGAAAGGGGATAGATCATAAGGGGGCATATATCTGGAGAGGCATAACAGAATTAAATGTATGTCCACTCTCACTATAAAAGTATCCGTCCTATGTTGTCCCAAAAAAATTTCAAAAAAATTAACATAAGAACCATTACATTAAAGTGTATTTATAACGAAGTTAAATGTAAAATGTAGCTTTTTGTTTAAATTTTATCTAGGTAATATATAGTATATGTAGGTATATTAGTAAAGTAAAAATGTTAATTATTTAAAAGGAAATTGTATTTTAGGAAAATAATTTTTTTGAAAATTTTAGATTAAATATTATGTAAATTTAATCTACCATTTATTCCATCTTCAAGAGAGCAAGAACCGAGAATTGTGCCATAATGTTCTTCCAAAATTATGGGCAAACGTCTAAAATTTGAAAAAATAAGGAATTTTGACAGATTTGATCATCAACATACTCGTAATCCAACTGAAAATCAGAAAGACACCCGGCCAGCGAATCTACAGTTCCCAATTCAGAATCTTGAATTAAACTTTGCAATCTTGAAGGTACTCCACCCAATAACATATTCCACCGGTCTCCCCCAATAGAACGTTCATCATCTAGTATTGTGGCCAATACTTCTCTGTCGTTTATACGAACTTGGATTCTGTTGAAATAAAAGAATTTTTTTGAGTAAATAAATAATGTTTATTTTCTCAAAAAGTGCACAAAAATTCACCTACATATAAAAATTACCTATCAAGGCCAAGATACCTTGTTCAAAATTGTCGAATCTGGGACTCTCTGGTATAGTACGATTCAGCTCGTCTATATGCATCGAATCAGCCAGGGTGTCCCTGATACAATAACTTTGAACCAGATTATAGCTCAGCGGTACCTTGGCCTCGCTGTACCTTGGGGTGTATAAAAGTGGGGGTTTAAAGGAAAATCCTTAGGAAATTTTGGAGACCGAGGAGTTAAAAACCTCAATATCACCGACTTATCAATTTGAAAAATTTCAAAGATTTCATGAAATTTTTTTAATTTTACAAACTAAAAAACAAAACTCTTTCCCCATACGAGAGAGAAACACAGAATGCAGCAATCCATCAGAATAAGCTTGCGTTGAACTAATAACTGGGCGTTTTACACGTTCCTCGGAGTCTGTCCCCAAATGTATAGTTAAACGTCCATCAATTAGGTAAAAGGCCAAGAATGACTTTAAAGAAAATATAAATTAAAAGGGATTTTTGGGAAATTTCCTTAATTAATTCCAAAATCAAATAAATTATCAGTTCATTTAATTTTAGACTAGATCAATTCAAAGTCAAAATACCGCTCATTTAAATACCCACAGGTCGACAATTATCTTTAATTTCCCAAATTTCCTCACTTGATCATTCGGATTTGCAAGGACACCCCTCCGTTCTCTCCAACTAATCTCTTCTAATTTCTCTTTTTCTCCCATTGTCCTCCTCCTTCTTTTAGCTCTCCGTTGTTGTTCCAATTTTTGTAAGTCTGCTGATTGGTAGAGCAAAATAGCATTCAAACTTTTTGTGCGAAAATTGAAAGAGAAGGTTGAATCAGAATCTAATAAAATTCCACGGGTTTTGAGGAAGCCGCCATCAATTCCCTTTGAAATTAAATTAATTTTACAAAGGACTTTCAATTTACTTGAAATCCAATAATTCGTTCAGAAGTGCTAAGCCTCTCCTCTTGATATCTACAACCCGCTTCTTTTCGTTGTGCTCTCAAAGGATTATCCAAATCAAGTTCCGAAAGTTGATTTGGCCGAACTGAGTGAATACACCCAAAGAAGCCTTCAAAGTTGAGGTCATGGTCTTGAAGGAAATGAGCTGTTGGGAAGTCGGGAGGTACACCCCCAACAAAATGGTCAGACTCTGTAATGTCGAGTAGAGCCTTGCTGTCATCTAATGCTATAGAGATGTGGTCCGCTTCTGGATCAGCCTTTAAAATTGATAAAAAAATAAGAAATAACTATATAAAATATAGTCAGGCCTCACTCTAAGATACATTCCCTGAGGCTGGAGGTGTATATTAAATAGAAGAAGCTCCTCCCTCCACTCAGCTCCCCCATTTAAAAACCATATTTTAATTAGAATATCTAATTTTAGGTTATTTTAAAATGGGGTTCAGCAAACACACCTGTAAATGCACTTCTCCATCTCTTCGAATTACTCTAACTTTATGTGCCCTGCCATCTGCATAGTTTGTCCCATTCAATTGAAGAGCTATTTTTGCTTGTGGCCCAAAATCAGCTTTTAGCGAAATTGCACCTTCGTGCAATTCAAGTCCAATAAATTCTCCACTTGTTGGACTTCCTCTAAAGTAGAGAAGACCGTTAGGAGAGTAAGCACTGAATTGAACGGCAAGCATTGAACTGCTCCTCTCGGCCACTGGAAAGCGTATTTGGGCAAAGCCATTGCTTTAAATAAAGAACATTAAATAGGGGTTCTAGAATACTATTTTAGGTTGTTCACATAATAGAAGAGTCATTTAAACAAGTGGTTCCTACAGAAGAGAGATCAAGAAAGTGATTAATAGGAGGAGGAGGCAAACTTGAACATAAAAAATATTTTGTACCGGAAGAAATGTCCAGTGGCTGTTTTCATCGGAGGCCCAGTTGCCCCCTCACACATTCCTTCGGTTTTGCAAAACACCCAAAGAGGTACATTCACTCCATCCACATTCAATTCCCCCACAGTTCCAAGAAATTTATTTGTAGAAAATCCTAGTTCCTCAGCAAGAGGTTTGTCTTTTAAACCCAAGGATAGACGTGTTTGGCCTGGAATGACATTGAAAATCTGAAAAGAAAATTGTTGGATCTTCAAGCAAATTCTAGTTTTTTTGGGAACATACAACGTCAGAATTAACATCTGGTTTCCCAACAACAACTTGTGTAGGCTCATCAACATCTCGAGAACTATCACCTCCCACAGAGAGGCGTTGAACTACACTGACTTGTACTGTATTAGCAATTCTTTAAAAAATAATAAATAAGAATGTAAGATGAAATAGTCAATCCTCCACCTTTTCACTTCAATATGGTACCACGTATAACGAGAAGATGCTGGTATATAAACAATGTTACGTTTAATTATTGCTGCCTAAAATTTAAAAAAATTAACAAATTAATTTTTCTAAAATAAAAGAAAAGCTTCAGATAGTGCAGCCAGCAAGGATATTATCATTAGAATCAACCGGTAATTCCACTTGATCATCATTAGCTTTTCCATAAAGAAAATAAAAGAATGGAATCGAACCAACCCCAAAAGAGGGGAGGTTAAGCGATGCGAATAAGAATTAACCCACTACACCACAAACAAATATTTTGTTTTCTCTCAATTTCTTCTTTTTATGCTAAAAATAAATATGTAGACTAGCCTCTCTGCGGCCATCTCCAATGTCCCATTTTACATGAATTTTCTTTTGCTTCAGTTCAATGGCTAAATATTCTCGACTTTGTGTTCTAGTAGCTGGTACTTGTGTAAATAATAATAGGGAATCGGGAGAATCCATTACAGGACGATATTTGAGAGAAATTGTGTTGGAAGTTGTTGGGCGCCTATGGAAATTAGGGAGGATTATATTAGAGAGGCAACACGGGTTAAATTTTCTCAAAATTAGAATAAATTTATTATTAATAATTTTTTATAAATTTATTTCTTATACTGCCAACTATATTTTTAATCTTTAGAATTTTTGTTTATTTATTTCAAAAGCTATGACAGAAAAAGTTAGTAAAGTAAACATTTTCTGCAACGTTCCACTACATTTTCGACCATAACTTTAACAAAACTGGACCAAAAATTCTGAAATATTAAGTCAAGTTAGCCAACACTAGTAACTATATTTCTTCAAAATTTCATAGAAATCGGTCCGTATTTGACAAAGTTACACAATTTAATCTGTCCAATGTCCACCACTTACATTGGAGAGAGAAATTCTCTAATACATCCACTCCCAACATCAGAACGAACTCCAATCCTTATTTTTGCTGCTTTTTCTCTAGCTTCATCAATCTTCTCTTTTAAAACCCCCAAATCTTTTCTTAATAATTTAATTTGTTTTGAATGTTCTTCTGTTTTTTCTTCCAATTGACTAAAATCTTTATCCAATAAATCAACTTCTTTTGCATTTTCAGTCAAATTTCTAATACTTTCTTTAATACTTGAAGAAGTAAAATGCTGTATTGAATTTACACGTTGTTTAATTCCTTCAACATCTTCATTAAATTCGATTATGGTTTCCTCTATTAAATCCAAGCCCTCACGTGCATCATCTACTGCTGTAAAGACTGTGCTGATACGGCTTCAAATTAATAAATATTTGTGAAAAAATTAAGTATAAACGGGACTTTAAATTTTTTAAACTAGAAATAAGCAGGAATCTTGGTCTTCCTCAACTCCATTGGTTTTAGTCAGACTTAGTCATGGACATGGATTTTGGAATCAGTATCCGGATAGTTACGCGGGATATCCGCAGGTATTTTGAAATTATCTGTATCCATATCCATTACCAAGTCTGGTTTTGCTGCCGAAATATAGTATTTTTAACTTTATGCAAACAATCCTTATACCCGATTGACAAACAGATAATGGATAGTGGGTGTTAGATATGAGTTATTGGGGACGAATTCGATTCTTCCTAATAATTACTTGTTAAACCTTCTTAAACAATTGCTTTAACAAATAAGATTACTCTAAGACTGCTTCCTATTCAACCCACCTACCGTATATCTGGTTTACAACCCCATCAAGCGAGAGATCGAAACAATAAGATCGAAACAATAATTGCCCAGTGTAATTAATACAGTTTTTACGGTAACCCCTTTAAATATTTAACTAACAAAAACTCACTCATGGTGGTCTTCCAATAATTGCTGAACATCTTTAAATGAAAGAAAATATTTTTCAAAAAAGATTCCTTTTCAAAATTACCCCTCATTAAACTAATATTTTTCTGTGCAGCCAAAACAACACTTCCCAAATTATCCAAATTATTCCAAAGTCTATTACTTTGTTCTTTAACACCCAAATCTTGTAAAATCAGATCTACTTTATTATTTAATTCCAACGATTTAGTTGCTGATATATTCGATAATAAGAATAGAGAATTATCTTCCTTAGGGTCAATTAAATTTATTGCTGTATCTGTTGTGTATCTGGCAGAAGCTGTGGACATTGTGGCATTTTGTAATAAATTAATAATTAATTCATAAACGTTGGAAGCTGCTAAAGCATCCATTGAGAATATCTTTAGAAGGAATAAATTTTTTGAGAGTTTTAGGGTAAGGAAAAGGTTTTAAACAAACTTTATAAAAGATTTTTGGACTACTTTATTTGAGCTGTTTCGAAATTATTTAAAATTCTCGAAGATATATCACCCCCCCCCCCCTCTCCCTCTATTTTGAGTGCCAGAGTCTTCCTTCCTTGATTTCATTCTACTATTTTTCTTTGGCAAATTCAAATGAAAGACGTTGATAAAGAAGAGATTAATTTTTCAATCCTTTAATTGTAGACTGAAGGGAAATAAATACATAGAATGGAATCGAGGAAGCACATATTGAAAAATCTCTGATACTCAAAATAGGAGGGATGTGGTATATCCATAAAGTACCGATTTTTAATGAAAATTTAAAATTTTGAAATATTTTAGAGATTTCGAGGTGTTTCCCAATAAGAAATATTTTTCGAAAAATTTTTGAAATTTTCGAAAAAAATTCTCAAAAAAATTGCCTGTGTATCAGAAAATTGTCCCTTCAATTTCAAAGCCTGTTTTTCCAATTCCAAAGCATGTTTTTCAGCTAAAGGCATTCTTGTCTGTTTAAGTTCATTTATTACAACAAAATCTCCCTCCAAATTTTGTAATTCTTCTTCTCTCAAATTTTTAATTTTTAAAATTAATTTATTTCTAATTTCTTTCCCAATCTCTTCATTTTCCTTTATCTTTTCTTCAATTTTTAAAATATTTAAATTTCCATTATTTATTTCTTCTTCAACCAATTTTATATATTTTTCTATTTCCTCTATTATTTTTTGTAAATTTTCCAATTCTCCCTCGGCTAACAGACTTGTATTTTTGGCTGCTAAACTCCCCGCTCTAGCCTCGTCCCACAAAATATTTCGAAATTCTTTAATTAATAATTGATATTCTCGATGTTTTTCGGCTAAATGTTCGTAGGATGTTGTATTTAATTTTCGGGCTGTTATTTCCTGAAATTAAAACAAAATTTATATGGGATTATAAGCTCTATTTTATTTAAAGTTTTCAATAGAATTCGAAGTCCGGTTTCAGTCCTCCTCCTCTCCCTCCCTCTATCCCTCCTCCTCCTCTCCCCTCTTTCCCTCCTCCTCCTCTCCCCTCTTTCCCTCATCCTCCTCTCACTCCTGACCTCTTTTCCCTTTGAAATTCTAAAAGATTCTTTGTTTTTTTCTAAAAAATTTTTTCATACTATTCTGCCCTTTGTCCTTCTACAGAAAATAATTTTAGATAATTTGAGGTAAGTAAGAGTTTCTGATCTTGGATCCTGCCCTAGCCAGATATCCAAGAGGAGCAATATACGTTAATAGAGTTGTCGGTTCTTGGAAATTCTTCGGATATCCGAAATTAAACCGAAAAATCTTCGGTTCGGTCCAGAACCGACAACCTTACTCGTCACAGCTCCCCCAGACAAGGAAATAATTAAAATAATTTTTTGGAGAGTTTAAAAAGTATGATAATGATTGTTTAGTGTATATTTTACTTAAAAATTTTAAACATTTTACATTTAAAAGACGTTCAGCTTCTTCAGCATTTTTCTTTGCATAATTATACTTCTTTTCAATTGTTGCCATTCTTTCCCTTGAAGTATTTAACAAAGATTCTGCTTGATCTAACCAATATTGTAATTGACTAGAGGATGTTGACTGGCCAGAACGATGAACAAATTGAGATAATTGGTTTACAATATCTAAAAAATTTGTAGAAAATAAGTTAATAACAAAGTTGTTTCCCCCTCTTTCTCGATTTTACAGAGATTCATCTAATTAGCTTATACCTATCTCTCGTTATTTTTCGAAGTTAAATGACAAATTAAATCGCTTGGGTTGAATCATAGAAAAGTATTAAGAGTATGTATTACATTAACAGTATTAAATATAGTAGCACTCCGAGCCTTCGGACGCACGATCTTTGGGGATCGGGGTTTGCCGGGGTAGAGCCCCATAAAATTCAGAGCCCTTAAAAATTCCCTAAAAATTCAGGGTTACGTGGGTCGGGATGCAACCCTAGTATCGGTCTCGGTTTTATCATTCTCGTTCTCGAAACCGATACCGATATTCTCGGTCCATTTCTCGGCGAGAAACGATACTGACTCAAAAACCCCAATTTTCTTGTATTTTTTTAATAAAACTGAGTATTTTTGACCTTTGGCCTTCTGAATTTCAAAAAATTTTCGCCTGCGGCGCTGAAAAGAGTGAATCCTTCTTTATTTGCCTTAGAAAATCCGAGGATTTCACTGAGCCCTCACGATTGAGTTCGCACGACTGAGTTGCCCTTTTAAATTGAGTCCCAATAATTTAATAAAATTAAAAGGCTTAAATACAATACTGGGTTATTTGGAGGGATTTGGGTGTTTAAGGGGATATCAATGGATTTGGAGGGATATCGAATGTAAGGCGGATATCGTTATATTTGGAAAGTTAATGGCGGATTAAGTGAACTATAATTGTATAAGTAGACTATAATATTTTTACCTATAAATCCTACTATTGTATTTTTTATAAAAAAGGATGTTAACCATCAATCGAATTGGATCCAGATGATGAAGAGTATTTATCTGATGATTTGGATAATAAAAATAATGAATAATGAATAAATTATTTTTACGCGTATTTTTTGACGTAAAATAAAAATTTCTGTTAGTATCGGTCAGTATCGTTTCTCGGTATCGGTCTCGGCTCAAAATGATGGTATCGGTCTCGGTATCGGGTTTTTGAGTATCGGTTAATCTCGGTCTCGGGTTGGCCGATACCAGTATCGTTTTGTCCAACTCTAGTATTAACCATCAACCTATTTAAAAATGTTTCCTAAAAATCACTGAAATTTGATGTTCCCCAAATCTGTTTTATGGTATATGTTATTTTCTCTCTCGATAACCAAAATTGACTCTCAATCCAGTCTTTATTCTAATCTAAACTCCCTAACAAATCTCCCATCTAAAATTTCCTCCAAAAAACTTACCAATAACACGTTTATTCTCTTCCTTTACTTTTGCACGTATTTTATTCAAATTATTTTCTAAATTGTTAAGTTTAATTAAAGATTCATTATTTCTTTCTTGTAGCAATCGAAATTCTTCTGCAAGAATGTGAGCATGACGGAAAGAACGGCTAGTAGGATCATCACTTCCTTCAAATCCTTTTCCTTCAGTTAATGGGATGGCCCAAGATAATTCAGGCTTTATTAAATAATTTATTTTAAAGAAATATCTGATTTTCCCCACTCATAAGTTGTGCTTTAAGGAGGGATGACTTAGAAATACAATTTCTCAGAATGTTAGACTTTTCCTTCAATATAAATAGTTTAAAGGAGGGACAGAGTTTGAATTTAATCAGGCACAACCCGGATATATGTGAATAGTAGTGCTTCGCCGTAACCGGAACTGAAATTTTGGCCTGAACCGGAGCCAAAAAATCCTGGAACTTCCGGCCTACCGGAACAGGAACTTCCGGCGAAGCTCTAGTGGACAGGCCTAATACTCTCCATTGAAAAATGAAATATAAATTCTTGTTCGGAGGTAGAAGTATGTTCTGTTTTATTATTACCTTAGACATTAAAGAATTAAATTCTTCTCCACCAATACTATCCAATAAAGAAGAATATGTAGTGACTGAGGTTCGAATTCTAGCTAGTCGTTTGTGTGGAATTGGTCTAGATTTGGACAGTAATCCATGTAGAGGAAGTAATTGTTTTTCCATATCATCTTCGATAAGCATCAATTCACGATAACATCCTTGATCACAGGCTGTTTTTAAGAGAAAATTTTTTTTACTATTTGCCTTTAATGTTGTCTTAGGAAAATTTTCGAGAAAAGGAGGAAACAGGGAATTTGATAAAAATATCAAAAATCATTTTGTGGGGACGAAGAAGGCCCACCAGATATTTGATTAATAATATCCACTAAAAACTTACAAGTACAAACTCCATTAAGAAAAGCATGTCTAGGACTACAAATAGAGCAAGCACGTCCTTCAACGCCTTCTCTACATTGGCACTGGCCTGTTATATTGTGACAAACAGTACTCAGACTTCCATGTGGATGACAAGCACAAGGAATGCAACGACCGCCTGGTTGTAATGGATTGCCATAATAGCCTGCTTCACAGCTGGAAAGTAGCATTTTTTAAAGAGTATTCTCTTCAGATTACCTTTCACAATACATTCCAACATGTCCAGGATTACATTCAGTACAATAATATCCTCTACCACTAGATTCACTTGCTACACATTTAGAACTTGATGAATTATCCTCCAACGGACATAAACAACGATGACAAGCATCTGGAAGTCCACTTAATGCATTCCCATAATAACCATCTTTGCAACGTTCACAACGTGTGCCTATAGTGTTGTGAAGGCATTCCTGTAAAATGTACAAAAAAGTACTACATATATGAAGGTGGTTAACCAAGGCTAATAAAACTCTTCATAATCTAAACCGTGGAATTTTTTCTGATATCAGTTGTTTCCCGAATGATTTTAAGTTGTTTCGGAGCAAGGTACTGCATTAATATCACAAAAAATTGTTCTAGAACGGGGTTTGGGTTGTGATCAAATCACGATCTTCAATCCCGTTAATAAAATATTTTATTTGGTGTAACTTTGGGAAGACTCTCTCAGGTATAAGAATCAGTAAAATCAGCTAACAATGCATTCTCCAGTTTTGGGATCACAAAGTTGGGAATGGCTGTGACAATCACACGGCATAGCCATTCCGGAAAGAACAATTGGATTTGGTTGATTTAAATAATCAGTAATGTATGCAATAAAGAATCCAGGTGCAGCTTGTTGACAAGAACGGCCAGTATAACCTTTAGCACAATTAAAGCATTGCTCGACGCCCATAGCTGGTTCCCCCTCCATTTCTGAAAATTTATTTTATTTTTAATTTAAAATTATTGAAGAGCGGGGGAATTTTAGCGAATTTCTTTTATATCTAAATTTCGGCATTTGCATCAATACTTCCGTCTGCCAGCCCCCTCTGCTTTTGATTTTTCTCCCTTACGACTCCCTGTAACTAACGTTCCCTCAAATACCCCTTCGTTAAAATATTTTTAAATTTTTGTAGAAAATATAAAAAATATGCACCTTCAGTAGCCACATCCAATGAAATTTCTGATATCGAAATACTATCACCCCGATACATATCGTTGTAAGTTGCACGAATAAAAATATGTTGAACATCCAAGAGAGCAATCTAATGAAAAAATTATGAAAATAAAAGGAATTTTAAAAGTACCATCATTTCTTTGCGTGTCACAGGAACTTGAGGGCTTATTCTGTTACGCCATTGGCTCTCGTGAAGGCGAACCTAAAAATATAATTTTGTTCGAATTATCAGGCTAACTTGAGAGTAAAATTGATTTAAGCTATAAGAGAATTAAGGCCTAACTATGCATAGTTTCGCTTATTTTTAGGCCATATCGGACCCTCTTTCTACTTTCTTTAAACTATAATTTTAAAAAGCATGGAGCGCCTAAGAGATACCTCAACTTTAAAATAACCTTCTTTTTAAGATATGATTTAGGTGGATGTCTTGATTTCATTTTCTATATTTTCCTATCTCAGGAGCTAGACTTATACATATTAGAGTATTTATGTTAGCTAATTACAACTTTAAATAATCACTCTTACTTTATAAATTCCATCATCTATTATATTATTCGAATGTGAAGGTACATGTTCCAATTCAATACGAGTACTTCCAATCAAAACGACTTGAGGGAAAAGACGAAATACATGGACATTTGGTTGAAGAAAAGATCCTTTATAGTTGTGGTCTTCATTTCGAATCCGAAAACGTAAAAATCCATTATAAGAACCAGTTCGATCATTTTTGAAACTTTCAGGCATTGGCCAATACAGTGGAGTGTGGTTGGTTGGGTAGGAATTATAGTCGTTTGGCCATTCTCTTAATAAAAAATAGGCTTACAGGATGATTCATATATAACGTTCGTGAAAATGATGATTCCAATAAGAATTCCATTGTTTACATTTACATTGAGATACACTCCGAATTAAAGATCGGTATTTTCAAAAATCCTGGATCTGGATTTAGATTAGTAACCAAGACAGGATTCTTGACCTGGATCCAAAAAAATACAGACTGGATTCAGATCCAGACCGATCTCTACTCCGAATCTTGGAGTGTATCTAAAATTTTTCAATTCGGAACGGTCTAGTGTGACCTGGATGAGCAGAATTATTCATAGAAAAATTTCTAAAATTCTAACATATTTAAATCCTCGCCAAGGTCAATAGATTGATTAAGTAAAAAATGCCAAATACAACTCCTATCCCGACAAAAAATTCTTACTTTAAAACATGCAAATTGTGTTTTCTCTCAAACATTTCAAACGGCGATTCAAACACAACTTTTCTGTCCGAAGCATATTGTTGTCTCCAATAAAGTCTTTCTGATTGCTGACATTCTGTCGATCGTTCAAAACAAAAACACTTTGTACATCCCAAAGGATGCCAAGTTTCTAGGCTAAAAGCTCCCTCAACACATTTATCACATTTTAAGCCAGAAACGTGTTTTTTGCATTTACATTGACCTTCTTTAGAAGAACATAGACAAGTACTTCCTCGACATTCAGAAGGTTCTGTTCCAGCCAAGGAGCATTGACATGATTTACATTCGGGGAAAGAATGATATCCAGGTTCGCACAAATCACAGCGGTGGCCAACATAACCTGGTTTACATTTACATTGACCACTGAAAATATGGGGATACATATATAAAATGGTGAGCCGAGTTTTATATCACAAAAAATCTCAATCTCAATAATTTCAATGACAGAAACAACTTAAATATTTCGAAATTTTATTATATTTCTCACGTTCGTTGATCACATATTTGTGAATCAGCACCAATTCCATCACACTCACAAAGCTGACAACCACGATATTGATGATAATTCCAAGCATTACTTGTACAACGTTCACACATTTCTCCAAGAGTGTTTGGTGGACAAACACAGTCACCTGTTACAGAATCACATACTTGCCCTACACTTGGGCATACTCGGCAACCTTTTTAAAATGAAAAATATTTTAATGAAAGAATACATTCGGACATCATACGCCTAAACATTTGGGGTTTAAAAATCGTCCATAAGATCTAGGTGTATCCATTATTGGTTTGACAGCTCACTTAACCATTATCTCATCAAATATCTAAAAATGTATCTCAAATCTAGATTGGGCCTATAAAGCGGTCCGAATGTAATAAAATCCTTTTACTTACGTTTGCAGCCATCTGGGCCAATTCCGTAATAATTAGGTTCGCATTTGTCACATTTGAGACCAGTAACACCCGCTTTACAACGACACTGTCCCGTTCTTTCATCACATATGGTTCCCTCAGAACTCATTTGAGCACAATTACAAGGCTAAAAAATAAAAGTAAATAAATTTTATTTTATAAATAAATTTGGTTTGGTCATATGTATAAACATTTTCGTACACAAACATTTGTATTTGTCCAGGTAAAAAATAAAAAGTCATTTATGAGATGGTTGAGAGGATAACAATCTCTTATTTGGGTTCAATTCAATCCGAATTTTTGTTATTTTTTGTGATAATTTCGGCCATTTACTACAACCGTATACGATTTCTAAATGCCTCTCTCTACTACTACCTGACAGCCAATTCCAGCAGTCATATTAAAAAAGCCGGGAGCACAACTTTCACATTTAGACCCAACAACATTTGGAAGACATTGACATTCACCCGTTATATTATGGCATTCTTTGCCTGCAACAGCCCCTAATTCATTACAATGACAAAATTGACATCCTTCTGGTCCAAAATTGTAATAAGAAGGAACGCATAAATCGCATCTTTAAAATTTAAACACTTAGATTTAAAAATTTTTCAAATCTTATTTCTTCCTAATTTTAGATAAAGGGATCAAAAAACTAAATGAAAAAATATTTTTCCAAGGTAGAGATATAAAATTTTTGAAAATCCGTCACTTAAATAAATTAAATAAAAGTTAAAGTTAGAGAGCACAGAGTAAGTTACTCTTCTCATGTCTGTACTTTTGATATTTAGGTGTATGACATTTAAGTACATTTGAGTCTTGATTCTAAACTCTACACGGTAATCATTTTGTGCCTAAAATAAAGTACAAATGAAATCTATTTTTATAAATAGATACATTTTTGGAAATGAAATAGATATCGAGGTGTATCTTATTTATCCTCTACTGAGTAATATCTTAGGCACTGCACTTCCCACGCAGTGCCCAATTTAAGCTTAAAATAACGTGTTATAAGTTGAGCTGCAACTAATTTTGAAATATTTAAAAATAGGATGTTCGACTGTATTTTAGAAGAAAAATTCCTTACCTCTTTCCATATATTCCTCTTTTGCAAACACATTGGCCACTAACTTCATCACATAAAGTTCCCAATGAGCCAGTAATATTACATTTACATTCTGGACATCCATTACCAACATCTCCATGTCCAGGAAGGCAACGATCACATCTATCACTTGTATAGCCTTCTCTGCATTGGCATTGACCTGTTTGGTTGGAACATTGAGGGGAAAGAGAGCCAAATGAATGACAACGACATGGACGGCAAGTATGGGCTAATGCAGATCCCCAATGATTTGGAAGACATTCTTCACATTTTGTACCAGTCGTATATCCTTAAATTGAATTTAAAAAATTTTTGCGTTGTTCTTCTTCTTTATTTTTCGTTCTTTTCAGAATTAAAATACCAAATGGACACTAAAGAAATGTAATGAAATGTAATCCCAATTGCAGCACAACAAGAGTTTTGGGGGAATTACTAAACCTCTAAATTCAACTTTTATTTATATGATCTCCACAAAACCATATTTGTTTCTACTAAGATTCTGAAATAAAGCAGGGAAATCAATGTTTATGTAGATCAGGGATCCTGCCGTCCCGATTCCCGAAAATCGGGAATTCCAGACGTTTTTTCGGGTCGGGATCCCAATTCCCAAAATCGTGAATTTTGGTTTTTTCTCGGAGGATCCTTGATGTAGATATTATGGGAAATTAGATGCAAGTTGTCGCTAAATGGGAACGAAAATTTAGAAGGATGAATAATCAAAGATGGGGGAGAACTTAAAGTACCTAAAAATAATTTTAAAGATTATCCAATACCTATACATCTAAGACATTCTCCTGTAGATCTATCGCAATTTCCAATTGCAGCATTATCAATGTTTCCATTACACTCACAAGGACGACATGACTTTTGGGGATCAGAGGCAAATGGGTCACCAAAATAGCCATCAGCACAACTAAAGAATGGAAGTTTCAAAGGATTTTTAAGCCTAAGTAACCCTGGATTTTTTGAAAAAAATTTGAAACTATTTAGAAAATTCAGTAAAATTATTTTTTATGTTTATCGATTTTCTGATCTTTTAATGAACCAAATCCCCCCCCCCCCTCCTTACATTTCACATTTATTTCCATCATAACCAGCTTCACAAGCAGTACAGACATATTCGTCTTGATTAACTGCAGCTGCTCCTTCGAGTACTAATTGACTTAGAGTGCATTGTTTAGATCTAGGATTCTCCACTGTTGGACAGGCACAAGGTTTGCATTGACCTAAAACTCCTCCAAGAGAAGGATTTCCGTAAAAACCGGGAAGGCATTGTTCACAACGAGGTCCTGTTGTGTTGTGCTAAAAATAGCGAGAATTCTAAATAAATTTAGAAACTTTACTTGGCAATTAAGGCATTTCCCACTAAAAGTATCACATTCCTGAGAATGGCCTTGACATTCACATTTTTTACAAATTCCATCAAAAAGTTGATTATTAACCCTTCTGTAACCAAGTTGACAACGTTCACAGCTATTTCCCTCAAAATGTTCAGGGCAAACACAAACCTTTATTTATTTTAAATTAAGAAGATAAATAATCCGGCCTATCTATCCCCTAGGACTAAAAAGTTTAGCTTATAATAAGGTGCATATTAAATATAAGGTATAGCTTAGGCTGATCCCCGCCTACTAAGGGAAAAATATTCAAATAATCTTACTAAAAATCAGAATTTCAAATAAAATTCAGAAAAGTTAAGATTAAGAAAAGTTAAGATCAAGTTAAGATTAAAAATCATGTCGATTTGCTGTAGTTTCGACAAAATCTTTGGGAATACTTAACCAATAATTTTGAAATTTTTAGACGTGATAGATAAGACTAAAAGAATGTCTAAAGAAAATTTAAGGCTGCAAAGCAGACATTTAGCAATTTTATGGTTTTCAATCACTCACTTCAACAGGCAAAACATGTTTTCGAGTACTTTTCCCCAAAGATATAGGCAAAATATTTGAATTAATAATTGCTAAATTATTTTGTTCATAAGCTGTTTCCATTCGAAATCTTAGTTTTTTTTAGATTTTTAATTAAAAAAAACTAATTTTTAAATTTACCCATAAATACTAGATTGTAGCTGATCTTGATGGTAACGGGCACGTACCAAAAGTGAATTTATATCTGATAGAACTCGCATCTAAAGGGAATAAATGTTTGAAAAAATTATATTACTACCATCATAGCTTTATCAATTGGTCTTCTAGTTCTTCCATCTAACCAATCTTGGGTTGGTTTTAGAGGAATACTTTTAAAAAATAAAAATAAATTTTAAAAATCTTCAAAGAATATTCTTACGTTACACTAATGTTTTCTCGTGGAAAAAAGTTTATTCGACTATAATATTCCAACTTGACACCATTTCCCTTAAAAATTATTGAAGAATCATAATTTAGAAATATTCTTAATAATTTTAGAAATTATTTCAAGTCTTTTTTATAATTGTTGAGGTAACCTGATAACCTAAAGGTTTGTTTGTTCCCCGTCCCCCCCCCCCCCACCCGCGAAAATTATTCCCCGTGGCCTCCCGTCGGAAAACAACCCTACTAATCTGTTAATAAAGTACATAATTTCTAACTAGTAATTGTCTGAACAAAAAAGTTCCGGATATCCTTCTTTTTTTGGATCGGGATATTCTGAACCCCTACACTAGTCCTAATACCACAGACAAATTAAATATTAAGGGAGGTGTTGAATAAAGGAAATTTTTTATAAAAAATAGGAACGTCAAGAGTTAATTTTTAAAGAATAATTCCAAAATTAATTCACTTCAATGACAACATCAGCCACGGGTATTTGTTGCCCTCTATCGAATTCTCTAGGCACATAATAAACAAAGTAATATAAATTCGACCCAAAGGAATTTAAACGGTTTCCAAGAAAATTTTTAGGAGCACTCCAATAATAAAATTGAGGCAAGGGGCGTTTTGAATTTCTCAAGTCTTCAATATTAAATATCAATTGTTGATCAATTATTCCATTGTTTATTAATGTTTCTGGTTGTGGAATTGAGGAATGACCGAGTAGATCGGTTAAATTCCAGCCGTTATTGTGTGAAATCTGTTTTTAAAAAATATAGAAAATTATTTTCATTAATTTAATAATTATACAGTTGAAAATAGTTTTGGGCAGGTTTGGTCTACGTGAGTGCTGAAAATTTGCCTCAAACCGGAAGAATCAAAATTTTATGAAATACAGAAACGGATCTTATTTTCCTATTTTTGAACAGAATTGCTCATCAAAAAGACTGTAACCCCACGTTTTTTAATATTTTTAAAATTCACTCTCCCCACCTGTCCAATATTCCAAAAATTCTCCCTACATTCCCTACTCTTTCCAAAACAAAAACATGGCTGACATCCCAAAGGATTTTCATTATCCAAATAAATAGTGCCAGGACGGCAACGATCACAACGTTCTCCCTCCACATTTTGTTTGCAAATGCAATGCTCTTCTTCACATGTTTCGAAATTTAAAGAGCCAGATTGATGACATTTCTGAGTGAAGACGAATTATTTTTTAGCTATTAAAACAAATAATTACACAAGGTTCACAAAGTGGATATTTGCGAAAACCAAGAGCACAAAGTTCACAACGGCGGCCTCCAAAGCCTGGCTTGCAACGGCAATCTCCAGGCCTCTGGATTGAAACAAAAAAATTTTAAATTGAATAAAGATTTCTAATCCCCAGTCAAACGATAATTCAAATCTAGGGATACTGTACATAAATGAGAGAAATCCCTCCGTTCAATTATCTTTCAAAACTCTCACCATTTCATTAAAAGCTTCAGTTTCATCACTAATACAAACATTACTTTCAGATCCAGTTAAATCACAATCACAAGGTCTACAAGCATCGTGTCGATAATGCGAAATATTTGCTGGACGAAAATATTCTTTTTTGCATTTTTCACAATTTATTCCCTCCGTGTTGTGCTAATTTGCAACAAAATGTCTCAAAAACTTTTCTTGAATTTAAATACCTGACAGTCTAAACATCTACCCCCACCCTCGTAAATTCCTTCAGGGGTTACACTGAGTCTTTGGCGTTCTACCTCTGCGTCATATACACATTGAGATGCGTGGTTGAAACATTGACAAGCTTTAAAGGAGGTTAAAATTTGAATTTTATTTTCCAGAAAAATTTTTTCCAGAAAAAGAGGAAAAATACTAAAGCTCGTACAGGAAAAAGACCAGATTTCCTCATTAAATTTGAATATGATTTTTGGAAGTCAGAAAGAACCAAGAGGATCAGACCTAATATTTGGGCCAGACAAAGTAAAAATTGAGGCCAAGAGTATGTTAACACTGGAGCTATAACCTAATAATTGTTAGATTAGATTAATAGATAAATTCATGGATTAATTCTGCGAATGGACTTTTAAATTTTTGAAGCAATGAAAGGATAAAGATCGACTTTTTCAATAAAGATAAATACCCTACATTGACATACATTTGGGTGTTCATGCGTCCCAACCTGCCAGGGCAGTTGATTGAAAAGAGGACAACATTGAGAACAAGATTCTCCACAAGTATTGTGACGACATTCACAACGAAATTGCTTAAAAAATTTTCAATTTTTTCAAAATTTTCCAAAAAAATCCTCACTCCGTGTACAACATCTGGTGTACATCTCTCTGCATGTCCATAACAAATACATTGTCCACCTATGCTTATATCTGAGATTGTATAGAAATAGCGACGAGTGACTGAATGGTCAAGCGTTTTATCACGGTGGTTGATTACCTAAGAAAAAATTTTCAAAAAAAATTTTTATAAATCCAAAACACCATCAAATCAGCATGTAATGTTTTTAGGCTTAAAAGTCTCAGACGAACAAATCTTGTTTTGGTAAATTCATGAAGTGATTGACTTGACTTTTCTACTCCAGGACGTCCATTGACAAGAGAAATGTGTATCTAAGTTTTAATTAAAATTTGAAAAAAAGCTGAGGAATTTTAATTAAAATTATTTTTCTCTTAATTTCCACCTCTCCATGCTCCAATGGATTCAATTTCGAAAAATAGGAAGTACAAATAACTTGATCATCCCTTTCAAATCTTGGCACACCCGTAGATGCTGGCATTCCAAACAGTCGCATACAGTCAGAATCTGAGGCGGCAAAAAATTGCCAAGGTTGGAAATTTGTTCCGTCTTTAAAGAAAAGTATTTAAAAAGCTTCAAATAAAATAAAATTCTTGCCTAAAGATTTTTCCAACACCCAATTGCCGGGGCGTGGGGAAATTGCAGATTTTACGATGATATAGGCTACTTGATATATCTAAGAGGGGAAAAAGAATGAAGTTTAAAAAAGAGAAAATTAATATATAAAATATTTTAGTAAATTTTATTGAAAAAATTTATTAAGACGGATTCAAACTTGTATATCTGACATGATCCCCTTCATCCAACCCTTAATTATTTTTCTAGTAATATGCTGAAATATGTCTAGCGAAATATGGCTTAAGTTTTCGAATGACATAAGTAGTTTTTAAAAAAAATTTTTGATTGATGTAATCAGACTTCATTTGTAGGTACATTTCATCTAAGGACATATCTAGCCTTCCTCCAATTAATTCAACACTCACATCATAAAATACAACTTTCTACCCTAAGTTGTAATTACAAATGAGAGCTGACTGTAAAGGGTTTTGTGTTAAAAATATTTCCATTTATTATTTTCTGAATTATTCTATAAATTCAATCTCATTGCCTGTCTCAAGTCCAAAGTGATATTAACTCGCTCATAATTCAACCCATTTGACAATGTTGGACTTTGCCACCATCTCTTAGTTCCATCAATGGCATAATCAATTGGGTGATTTTTGTGGTGATTATTAGCGTCACAAATGTCACATTGAGGTTGGCGAAGGAATACATGCTCTACTAATTTACAATAATAATCTGGGCCGTTTTGACCACAAGTTGAACTTGCACGGATTTCTGCATGTGTTGCCAAATTGAAAATTGAAGGGAAGAGGCCTTTTTCTGAAAAAGTAGTATAAAATACACTCTTGAAGCTAAAAAATTTTATTTTACATGAACTTATACATATGTAAGGCAATTCTAATACTAAAGGCTTAGGAATTGGTTTACACACACAGTAGCTAACCGATTTTAAAAATGTATCTAAAATTGAGTGTATCTTATAAATAGTAAGATCTGAATGTAATAAACTGGCGTTATGTGGTTTAATTTTCAGATATTCCCAAGAAATTGGAATCCCAGAAGATAATGGGAAAGAAACGGAGATCCGAAAATATTGGAACTAAAGGCCTAGGGGATCAAATATGAAATCTTTGTCTCTAAAACTGAGAAATCCTTCTAATATTAACCAATAGATTACTTTAAAAACTCCATAATTCATCAACAATCAACATTTAAATATACTAAACTTAAATTGATAATAGTAAAAATGACATTGTTTTTCCCTTGTTTTTCAAGTTTATATTTATCTTTTAAATTTATTTTATTTAAAAAATAACCATCTTTTCCAATAGAAAATTCAGAAAATTGGGGGGATTGCCCATTATCAGAATAACCACCATTATTTAACTTTAATTCATTATTTGTTGTTGGGTATATTTGAACTAATTCATTCGTTTTCACAATTTTTAATAAACAGAAAAACACCGATAAAATAAATTTTGGTTGTTGCCAAGTTGGCAAGGCCATTTTTAAGAATTTTTATTTTGTTATTTTTCTCGAGGAAATTTAAAAAAAAAACTGAAAAAAGATCAAAATAATTTTTTTAATTTTTATTTCTTTTAATATTAGTGTTCACTCTATTTATTTGTTTTAATAGCTAAAGATATTTTATTTGTTTAAAAGCACTTGAAAGTTAAAAATGCTTCTCGCATCGGACATAACAAATTTTAAAGAGGATCGGACGTATAAATATTGTGGTCAAGTAGTTTAGGTAATTTACAAGGTAATTTGATATTTATTGTTTTCGTGGTTTGAAAAAAAATTACGAATTGTCCGATATTAGAAAATTTTAAAAAACTATTTTTAACAGGGGATCCTAAATCGAGAGAGTCCATATTCTAAGCTTGTTTCGAATTTTCAGACTAAAAATTTATTTAAATGTTTGTTCGGCACCGTTACCGAATTATTAGTTTTTACTAGGGTAGCAACCCGACCCTTCGGGGGCGGGTGTGTCGGAGATCGGAGTTTGCAGGGGAAAGCATGTTGGGGTTCGGGGTCGGGTTGCTACTCGTTTTTACTATTCGAATTAAGAGAAAATATGTAGGCAAAAATATATTCGGGGAGGGATCAAAAGGTAAGTCAACTACAAAAAAAAAGTTGAAAAACAAAAAATAATTCTAAAATTTTACAATAAATTAAACACTTTCTGTAAAATAAAAAGTATGTCTAATTAAGTATTTTGTATAAATTAATTAAAAATAAAAGTAAATTCCGTACAAAAAAAGTTTTTCTCTTTTTTTATTTGTTTTTGGTTTGGTAAAAAGGAAAATGTGTTTGTTGTTGGCCGAAAATATTTAAATATTTTTTTTGTTTGTTTTAAACCTTCATTTATTAGCTTTTGGGGATGAGCCAATAATGGACGGAAAATATGGGAAGAAGAAGGGTGAATAAGTGAATGTTGGGGAGAAAAGGTTGAAAAATAAAAAAGTAAAAAATATTAATTAAAAAAATAAATAAATATAAAATAATTTTGCCAAAAAGAATAATTTTTTTGTAATCAGGAACTGACCGAGATAAAAAAATTATTTACAATTCTAATTAAAATATCCCGCTTAATTTCACTTTAAAGTCAGATTTTTTGTCTGAAAGTTGACATAAAATCGAGGTCAGACTATTTCGGATTTTCTTAAGTTTTTTTTGGTAATATTAATAAAATTTTTGAGGGAAAAGGCTGATTTGAAATTTAAAATCAGATTTGGTAATGAATACAGATGCAGATAATTTAAAAATGCCTAAGGATATCCGCCTGTATCCACCGTAAATATTCGGATGCGAATACCAAAATCCACGTCCATTACCAAGTCTGTTTAAAATTAATTTTCTCTCCATCTCTTTAATTAGGACCAATACTTGCTAAAAAAAATTGTTTTTGTAAAATACCAAATATCGCAGATTTCTAGAAATAATATTAACAAAAAGGAAAGAGAAAAACAAAAAAAACTTTCTAGAATATTAAAAAATTCTTTCTGATCTAATCTACAAAAAATAAATAAAATGTTTTTAAGCATTCAAAATAGAAGGAAAAGAATGAATCAGGCATAAAAAAGGCAAGAACGATCAATTGTAGGGGGGGGGGGGTTTCTTAAATAAATAATTGTGTTTTGTGTTGTTATATTTCTTTTTTTTATTTTTTGATACAAAAATTATTAAAATTGATAATTGAAAAAAAAATAAATTAAAATAAAGAGATGTAAAGGATAGTGAACTGAATTTACATAAGAAGAAAATTGTCAGAAAAAAATTAAACTAAAATCTAAACGAATCTTTTTAAAATTATTCGGCATTCTTTAGAAATGTAAGAAGCAAACAGTAATTTGAGAATACAGCCGAAACTTATTAAATAAAACACCCAGTATTAGATAAACTTTTAAAAAAGTGGTTGGCCATTGGGTTGGGAAAGATACCTAAATCCCCCTATGTAAGGTCCCAATCATTAGGAATCCTGCCGACATTAAAAATAAATTTCTGATTTTCGGAAAGCGGGATGATAGGATCCCTGCTCATCATTATAACTAGGGGTGGGGTTTTCGAGTTTTCGAGTCGGGCCGGCCCAACTGAGTCTTTTTCGGGCCACATTCAATGCCCGACTCGATCTTTCGGACCGGGCGGATCGGGCCCCCAACCCTAATTATAAGATGAGTTTTTTTCCTGTCCTAAGGGTAGATCATAGAAGGTTCGACTGTAATATAAAGGAATACAGAAGAATTTCACAAAAAGATTATTTAAAATTTTGCGCTTTTAATAAAATAAAGAAATATTTAAACATTTTATTTTCCAGTTTTATTTCAAGAAAATATTAATGTGAATATAATAATCATTAGTTTTGATTAACCATCATTAAAAATAAAAAGGTTTTTGCTATTTGGGAATGTTGGAAAATCAGACTTGACGGAAAAGGTCAACGACTAAACGTTAAAAAGGAAGAAAGAAATTCATCACCGGCAGCGGTCCTTCCCTTCATTCCCCTTCCTTTTTCTTCCTACCTTTTTTGCCCCTCTTTGGCATTTTTTTGCTTAAACAATTCCCCCGTCAGCGATAACCATTCATCCATTTATTTTTACTATCTTTGATTTTTCCCAGCATTTCTCCTCTTCTTTCCCTCCTCCCTGCAAATTATTACATAGCATAATTTATTATGCCCAATTGCGGCTATAAAGAGAAGATCAACCCTATGATTATTTTCTCTTTAGAGAGAACGTTTCAAGGTAATAAATATTATTTTTTGCTTTTTATTTGAGTCTAACCCCAAAATTATTTTATTATTTTTGAAAATATTGGAGTTAATTAATGGGGGTCTCAATTGTCTTCAAAATTCAATATTAAAGTTTTATTCCAAGAAAAATAAAATAAAAATTGAAAAATCAAAAAAAAATAATATTCAAAAATGCTTGGAAATATCATAAAGAAAAGCGTGTCCGGAAATTTAGGGAGTGGACATTTGGGGAGTGGACAATTGGGGAGTGGAAATTTGGGGAGTGAGCGGACATTTGGGGAGTAGACAATTGGGGAGTAGACATTTGGGGAGTGAGGATTAAAAAATAATTTAAAAATAGATTTTTTGGACAATAAAAATAATTTATACACTAGTAAAGCTGTTTTTGTGGAGTTTCAAAGATTTTAAAGATATTTTGATGTCTGTAGCCGGTTGAGTACACCCATAAAAGTAGGATAGCAACCTCCCTCGGGGGTTGGTGTGTCGGTGATCGGGGTTTGCCGGGGAAGGCATGTCGGGGTCCGGAGTCGGGATTGACTTGTCGTTCGGGGGTCAGAATTTCACTAGAAATTAGGGTAGCACAAAACCATTTAGCTAAACGTAATCGGTATACGGTTATGGGTTTTTGGTAAAATTAAACGGAACGGTATAGTCTTAGATAAACGGCATAAACGGTATACGGTCACTCTAAACGGCGTTTAACTAACCTCTCAAAATTCTCAAAATTTTCGCCTGCGGCGCAGTAAAATAAAGAGAATCTGGCTTCCTGGCCTCCAAAGTTCTCGAAATTTTCGCCTGCGGTGATGAAAAAGGAATAAATCTTGCCTCTTAGCCTTCAAATATTCGTGAAATTCTTGCCTGCGGCGCTAAAAACGATACAGTGGGAGCTTTGACATTCGACAAAGCTCGACGAGTTCTATAACCTAAGATTAACTGACCACTTTTTAATACGTTGAGCAAGGAAAAAAGTGGGGGAATTGAATTTTACCCTTTATAACTCCACAAAAACAGCTTTACTAGTGTATAAATTATTTTTATTGTCCAAAAAATCTATTTTTAAATTATTTTTTAATCCTCACTCCCCAAATGTCTACTCCCCAATTGTCTACTCCCCAAATGTCCGCTCACTCCCCAAATTTCCACTCCCCAATTGTCCACTCCCCAAATGTCCACTCCCCATATCTCCGGGAGCCAAGAAAAGGCATTGTCTCAAGATCATTCCCAAAATTGACTTCCACTGAGCAAGATAAAAGTTTAATAAAAGGTTTCAATATATCAACATCCTCTTCGATCAAAACTTCTTTCCCTTTAGAAGAATAATAGGTAATAAAACAAAAAATAAACTCACCAATATCTGTACCATTTTTAGTAAAAAATGAATAAGTCCAGATTTCTTCCTTTTTCAGAAAATTTCAAAAAGGGGGTCTGATATGTTTCGGATCAGGCACTCATCTTTTTTTCCAAAAACCTTACTTGAGATTTTAACAAAATTTTAAAATTTATTTAAATTCGCTTCGCA